TTAATGGCTTTTGTGTAGATTTACCAGATTTTTCTTTGATATATATATATAATTTCTATAAGATTTCATTTTAGTTATGTAAGTTGGTTACATTGGCCTACTCAAAATTGATAGCATTACCTTTATGTCCACAGCTGCTTTGACCACCTACTACCACAATTCCCAATTTTCTCCAAGAGGTTACCATTGTGATATGTATGTTTGCAGACCATAATTTATTATTTTAGTGATATAAGTGGTATTTTACCATATACACACAATACTCTGTATCTTGTTTTATTCTACCAATATTCCTTGGACATATTAATGTGCTAGATCATTGAAATGTACCTGTTTTTATTTGTTGTATTCCAGTCCATAATATCCGTTCCACCATAATTAAGTTACCCTCTCCCCCATGGGTCATTGCATTTATTTGATATTTTCTTCAATTACACACAGTGCCACAACAGACATGTTTGGACATGACTCCACAGTGACTGGTCAGTGGTCGTCACCATGTGATTACTGGGTCAGCAGCCTCAGCATCATGTCACTGGGGAGCGTTCTGCTATGATTGTTGTATGCTGTCAAGTCAATTCCAATTCATAGCAACCCTGTACCTAAACCAAACCTTTTGCCTTTAGGTTGGTTTTGACTTATAGTGACTCTATAGGACAGAGTCAAAATACCCTGTAGGGTTTCCTACACTGAAATCTTTATGGGAGTAGATTGCCAGATCATTTCCCCCATGGAGCAGCTGGTGCATTTGAATTTCTATCCTTTTGTGACTAAAGTTTGCTACATGTGTAAGGTTCATTGCATGGGTTCTTTAGAGAAGCAACACCAGTGATGCATATATATATATATACATAACAAGAAAGTGGCTCGTACAGTTGAGGAAGCAGGTAAGTCCAATCCAGATCAAGCCTGTGCATCAGATGTTAAACTGGTTTTTTTTCCTCCTGACTGGCCTAGCTGCTGGGGATGATGCACCAGGAAACAGGAAGATAATACAGGAAGAGTAAACAGGAAGGCCACAGCTGGTGGAGGCAGAGGCAAATTAATCCAAGGTCAGCTGGTCAGATGGCAGACTTTTATAGCTTCCAGGGTTAGCAAGCAATATGGCAGGCTGTTGGCTCAAATTTCAACAATTGAAAGTTGATGAACCAGATGCAGGACCCAGACCAGTAAGCAGCAAAGAAGCTCTCCAGAGGTCTAATTATGTATGGAACAAGCCACACATCCCCGTGGCTATGATCTTCCTACAGCTGTTTGCCTGCTTACAGCAGATCCCACACTGGAGTTGATAAATTCTGCTAAATCACATCATGGGAGAGGCTTCATCTGACAAATCTTGACCCAGCCAAATTAACATAAAATTTCAGTATCACACTACAGATGCAAACTCTTGCCCTACAGAGCCTCTGAGGCTGGGGACCAATACTCTGTGTTTTCCCAAGCTCTCCAGGTGATTCTGACACGATTTGGAATTTGGGAAACACTCGCATGGCTATATGTGCATGATACAAAATGTATGATGCAGTTCCATTTTAATGACTTGGTCATAAGGCAGTTCTGATATAAGTGGGATCTTTTTTAAAGTTTTCATTATATTGACTTTTACTCTAACGATCTCTGCAAATCTGAGCATTATTTGTCTTTGGCATTGTTTGGAAAAGGATGCCAGACTAGACACTAAGCTATATAAAAACACAACAAAAACCAGACAGTCCTGGCTTCAATTTGTCATAGCTTGTGATCCCAGTTCTACCTTATAAATCTGGCTAGACCAGAGGATATACACTGGCTAGACCAGAGGATGTACACTGGAACTGGAAACACAGGGAATCCAGGGTGGATGATCCCTTCAGGACCAGTGGTGAGAGTGGTGATACTGGGAGAGTGGAGTAGAGAGGGGGAACCGATTATAAGGATCTACATATAACCGCCTTGCTGGGGGACAGACAACAGAAAAGTCAGTGAAGGGAGATATCGGACAGAGTGAGATATGACAAAATAATAATTTATATTATCAAGGATTCATGAGGGAGGGGAGAGCAGGGAGGGAGGGGGAAAAATGAGGAGCTGATGCCAGGGGCTTACGTGGAGAGCAAATGTTTTGAGAATGATGAGTGTAACGAATATACAAATGTGCTTTATACAATTGATGTATGTATGGATTGTGATAAGGGTTGTATGAGCCCCCCCAAAATGATTAAAAAATAAATCGTAAGTAAAAAATAAATAAAATTTAAAAAGACATCTAAAAAAAGGACTACATACATACCCCAAAACAAAACAAAACCCAAACTCACTGGCATTTAGTCGATTCCAACTCATAGTAACCCTGTTAGATGGATAGTATAGACATGCCCCTGCGAGTTTCTAAGACTGTAACTCTTTATGGGAGTAGAAAGCTTTCTCCTGAGGAGCAGATGGTAGTTTCGAACTGCTGTCCTTGGGGTTAGCAGCCCAATGCATAATCACTATTTGACCAGGGTTCCTACATATACATATATACATATATACATACATATCCCTAAATAGTAAATTCTTCTGGAACACACCATATGTGGTCCTTGAAATTAGTGTGCCATGCACAATTGTACAGTAGGAGCCAGAGAACTTATCAGAAAAATAGGGTTAGGGGCATAAGAGTAAACACTTCATCAGTGGTACATAATGAAAATAAAGCTGGGAGCCTAGTAGAAATGATAGCACCATTTTACACATGTTACATGATAACACATAAGAAGAAACAGGACACTTTCCATTGAAAATGTTTTCCCACGTGATATTTTGTTGGAACAAATTCATTTTTCAACACAAATGTTATAGCAGAAATGACATCATATTCCTATACATACATATGAGTGGGTTTCAAAAAGTTGGTGAAAAAGTTCCATTATCTTTTGATTACATTTTCCCCTGAACTTTTTAAAGCTCCCACATACATTTATGTATGTACTACACAAGAGGGACTCCTTCGACTGTATTGACTAGCATTTTCACTTGCTAGTTTATTTCCCTTAGAGCTTTCTCTATAAAAGCACACAGAGAACTATTCATTCTTTTAAAATGGCCTTTAAAGGATTAATCAAATAAATCTCTCTCCAAACTGTTCCAAAATGTACATGCTGGCTAGTGTGCTTCCTACACACTAGCCAATACTACCTTTTATCAAGTTTCTTGATTTCTGCAAATTGAATAGTTAAGAATTTTCCTTCCCTCTCTATATGTATACATGCACGCGCGCGCGCGTGCGTGCGTGCGTGCGTGCGTGTGTGATATTGCTAGCTGCCACCAAGTTAGTCCTACTCGTGTTGAAACCACACACAAAGGAAAGAAACCCTGCCCAGCCTTACGTCATCCCTAAGTTAGGTTGCTGATGGGCCACACACTCACACTTACACTGTGGGTAATGCCTCCCACAAATAGTAAAAGGAGTTAGATGAGTGTCAAGCCAGCGGTGAAGCAGTGTTGGGATGGAACTAAGAGAATTAGATGGGTGTGCAGGAAAACATTTTCAAAAGCCTTTTATAAAGTATTCCCTGTCCATTTATTTATTTATTACTGCCAACTTTGGTAAAGGGTACTTAATCCACCTGGCGAGATAGGAGACCGAGCTTAGCCTGTTGGGATGTGAGCTATATCCTAGCAGATGAGTCTGTCAGGTAAGGCATGTGCTTGCCCTGAGTGCTTCTTTCATGAAGGAACACTATTCAGAAATCTCTGTTGCCAGCTGTGAGAATGTTCAGCAAATGAAAATGAATACTTTCACATGTAAGAACTTCTGGGGGTCAAGGCAGACTGTGATCTTGCTCTGCTGAGTGTAGAAAGAGAAGAAACTGGGGAGGAGGGAAGACTTTAAGCACATCACAGATGAATTTTTATCAGTGAAAGCTAGGGAGGTGCAGTTATAATTTTCATGTAGTGCCATAAGGTCTTAAGTAATAGATGAATGAGTTCGACTTGAGCCTTTGAGCTGATATGAAGGGGCTCTGGTGGCTCGGTGGGTTAGATGTTGTGCTTCTAGCAGTAAGGTTGGTAGTTCAAACCCACCAGCTGTTCCACAAGAACAAGATGAGGCTGTCTGCTCCTGTAGAGATTCATAGCCCCAAAACTCTATGTAGAGTTTGCTATGAGTTGGAATCAACTTGATGGCTTTGGGTTACTTATGAAAACGTTATCCACAGGATCGGTGTCAGGTGTTTGGACAGGGACCGATGTCAGTGTTTGCTATTGGTGCTTTTTGCCACGGACACATTTCTGCCCCCTCGCTGGTTGACATCCCCAAACATGCAGCTTACATCACTAATCCATTCATTCCAGCCAACCTTGCCTGAGGGCATCAGACTTGCTTGAGCACTGTTTGGTTGCACGGCCCTTACAAGCTGAGCAGATCCAGCTCAGTAGGCTAATGTGATGCCTGATAGCAGTCTTTCTCAACCTTCCTAATGCCGTGACCCTTTCATAAGGAAAACAAATAAAAATGAAAAAGTGGCAAGAACTTCCCATTCATTTTTACATTAGGCATTGCCAGTTTGAGATGCAAATAGAAGAGCTCTCCAGTTCTATGTGGACTCGCCGAAAGGACACTGTTTGTACCTGTAGCTTGTACGTGCATCTATGTTTTGTTCTTACCGGAACAATGAGACCAAATCAACTGTTTTGAAGTCACTTCTTACTATGTGTGCATCCACTACTCCTACTTTCAGCTTATTGATGATGAAGGACCGAAGGAAAAGGGTCTGTGGGCCACTCACTCCCTTTCCTGTGATGTCATTTTCAGCATAATGGGTTGGCTCATACAGGGAAGTAACATGAATCAGCAAGATGATGATTGGGTTCCTTAGCCATCCTTCATGTTTCTGTGGTCTCCTTTTGGTGATCAAGGCAAATTGTAGTTTGAATGGAAATCATGGTCCCTTATCAGAGTCCCACTTATTCGTTCCTAGAGGTGCTTTTCATGGAACCAATCTCTGTCGCCTTACAATTTTTGTTTGCCTTTCCCCCAGGATTTCCAGCAGGAGAACTCCAGAAGCCATTCTTTTGGGGAACAGAGTATCCCCGGTAAGTAAATCCATGGAGGAAATAATGAGTGAGGATGACCTACTCTTCTGTGTGCTTGTTCATGTTTGTGCACACCATTCAACCCTATTGTACCTTTGGTTCCTGTGTGCACGATGTGTGTGTTATTTGTGATATATAAAAACATACCACGTAAAGTCAAAATGCAAAGCCAGGAAGTTATTCACCAGAACTAGAGGATGGAATCCAGTGCAGGCCAACCCCAATCTTACCATCTGAGGCCTTTGTTTTCTGACCCTAATTATTAAGGTGGATGGCTGGACAGGAAAGCTAACTTCCACATAGGAGGTGTTTCATGTGTATGTATTTCGCCACCCAGTGATGCACACTGAAGATCTTTGCACCTTGAAGGCTGGCTGGGATTTGAGCTGATGGCAATGAACTAAAATCATTCCAAAGGGGGAAGGATCCATGTGAGAAAAGGAAGGAAGAGGCTTTTGTGGTTGAGTTTGGCTGGTTCAAGCGGTGTATTGTGGGAAGTAGCAGAAGAGAAGGCACAACCGAATGCTGAGGTTTGGTATTAGAAGGTTCTGAAGGCTTGAACATGAACAGAAAATATTGAAGATGCTGAGCATATGAATAAGATCATCAAATTGTCTGCAGAAGTAGAATGTTGGTAACTTTAAATCACGTCCACATTAACAGGATCTGGAATTACTGAAACCAATTTCTAGGTCGTTAATACCAACAAATTAGAGAGACTTCAGACTTTCCAAATACAATGAGGATTTCGGTGCTATCCCCACTTTTATAATATGCCTTTGCTTACTGGGTGACAGTGCACAGAAAATTCGTTTTGATCCTATCCATTTAGTCACTTCCATTTTGGTTTGCCCAGCTCAGCTCACACTTAGTGCTGGGTCTAATTAAAGGACCGGAACAGGCTGCATGGTTGAGGGGGAGGATCAGGACTGGGTCTGACGTAAGACGCCGTTTCCCAGAGTATATTCCACCAAGTTGTAATAGAAGCTGTTGTTTCCCCCTCCCCACGCTTCAGAGAATCACACTCCTTGCCCGCATACCTATTTCCAAGAAGATCTGCCCCCAAAGCAACCTCTTTAAATGTGTTTAACTCAGGCTTCCAAATCCCCTCGCCCATGCCCAGGTGATCCGCTACTGTTATCGAATAGGTCTGGGGAAACACTGATCTAGAATTAATGAGTGAACACTTAAGTGGGGGGGACCTCTGTAGCTGTCTTCACATTGTCAAAGAAACGTTAGGTAACAGGAACATTGCTTGTATTCAGGGCTCTAAGAAGGTGCTCACCTAGAGACCACACAGACACAGGAAGCAGATTTCATTTCATTTATGGCAGAACTGCTCAAGGAAGGTGTGGGCTGCCTCAGGGACAGGAAGAAGGTGAGCTCGTGGTCATTGAAAATGCTTATGTAGAAGTCTCATGACTATTAGCACGGCTTTTGTAGAGGCAGGGAGGTTTCATGCTTCTGGTAGGGAGTTGAACTAGATGACCTTCGAGCAATTTCTAGCACCAGGATTTTGCACCCCTAGCATGGCACAGCTCTGGAGATGTTTAGTCCAGACAGCAAACCCTGTGTATATGCTAAACCCATTGAGTAGTAAGAACAGATAAATTGAGCAGGTAAAATGACCATCTTCCCCACTGTATTTTTGGGAGGATAGAGCCCCCTGCCCCCAAAAGTCAGTTGCATTTCAAAATGCGCACCAGTTTATTTTTTAAATAAATGACATACTTTTAATGTTCACTGATACAATGGAGAATGTGAGTTTAATATTATGAACCATGGTCACTGCAAGGCTTAGTCATCTAAAATGACTTTTTTCTTGGTCTCTTGCATAAAGGATTGTGATTACATAACTGAGAATTGAAAGGTACAATGATTCAATCATTTCCAGAATTCTCTATTACCCTTTGGAAAAAAGCAGCTCATTAGGGCAGTCCCACTTACATAACCGTTATTGTAGGACAGTTTCTATAAGCTTCTATCTTTCATCCCGAATCCAGGCGCACTGAGTAAATAAGTGGCCAGGATGCTGCACTGTTCTCAGGGATGAGAGACCTGGATAAACGAAATGTTACAGGCTGTTCAGTGGTAGCTACTGCTGCAAAAATTAGCACTATGTAAAATTACAAGTTTGTTGCACACTGCTATGATAACTCTATGATTGAAATGCATAATTTTACTCTTACTCCTTTAATGAAGGTTTGCAATGATGGAAAAACAGTAGGAAACATTTTTTTTCAAATGCAAATTACCTTGCAGGAAAGAAATTACAAAGGAAAGAATTGCCACCAAGGGGAAAAATGAACTCTTACAGCACTTCCTTGGGTATAGTTGCGACAAACAATTAGCATGTTAAGGATCATTATGTCCTGTAATAACATGTTGCTTTGAAAATTTCCATTCCTTCCAGTTATGGGTCCTGTTTGCGGGCCGATGTTGCATGTCAGGCACCGACTACAAAATATTTTTAGCTTAACTGAGTCTCATGAAGACTCCCTACAGTAAGGATTCTAAGTGATCCCTTTCAATGGCTAGCATACGTTATCGTTCACTTGCATGAAATGGTAAAATTAATCAGTGAGCTAAATCTTTGTTACATTTTTACTATGTCCTAGGTACATGGAGGGAGAAAGACCAGGCTCTCTACTCTCTAGAGAGTTACCATCTTGGAAACCCACAGGACAGTTCTCCCCTGCTCTGTAGGGTCAAAGCAATGGCAGGGAGTTGTTGAGTGGATAGCTAGAGACTTCAGTAGTGAATACGCAGTTAAAGGCTTGGCCTTCCCAGAACTTGTAGATGAAAGAGAAAATCATGACACGTACTTACGGAAACCCACTTGCTGGTTTCTCTCTATACTAGGAATAAGCCGTGTTTCATTTGTATGTCCTGCTATGTAATGAAACACTCCCAAACAAGCACTTCCCGGCTCCTGCTTCTGCAATTCGCACAGGACTGGGTCTGGACAGCTAGGTGGCTGCGGCTGGGACAGCGCCACCAGGACTGGAGGACCGAAGGCGACTTCATTCTCCTGCCTGGTACCTCAGTTGAGCATGCTCCAACCACGGGGCCTTGACGGAGCCCTTGTCACTCACTTTGTAGGCTCTCTCTCTATATTGTGATTACCTTCACGAAGATGAAGGCTGGAAGCGGGCGGTCTCTTCAGGCCTAAGCCCAGAGGTCACACTCGCCCCCACTGGTCATGTTAGGTCTCTTCAGGCCTAAGCCCAGAGGTCACACTCGCCCCCACCCTCATAAATATAAAACACAGCTGGGCCAGATTGAGAATCCTAGAAAACTTGGCTCTGGAAGGGACTTTAGCAAGCACCTTTTCCCCATCCCTGGAGAAGGACATCATGCTCGGTACAGTAGAAGGACGGAGAAAAAGAGGAAGGCGCTCCACAAGATGGACTGACGTAGTGACTGCAACAATGAGCTCAAACCTAAGACCGGTCAGTATGAGTTGGAACCAATTTAGCGGCACCTAACAATAATGGCCATGACAGTCATTTCACGGGGAGATTTCACTAAGGCCCACATATGAAAGTGACAGCGTTAGGATGTATATTTTCTTTTTTCCCCGATTAGGGGTTATTAGGGATGATAGCAGGTCACAAGTCATCATCAGGATTTACAGTGTTTGTCCCTTCCCATCAGAAGAGACTGTTTATATCTTTTTAGAGTTCTGTAGGTGCAATGATTAGATTTTTATTACTGTGGTTAGTAGAAAACAGATGATCTTGGCTTTCACTGAACAAAAAGTAAAAGATTATGCTCCGAGATTCATGCTTATTCTTTTCTCAAAATCATGTATTTATGCCATAGATCTCTGAGTTATGGTGCTATAGGAGTAATTGTTGGACATGAGTTTACGCATGGATTTGATAATAATGGTAAGTACTGGTTCATTTTATTAGCTGCTGCTTCTGTGATAATGACTATATGGGTGTTAATGATTGCTATTTTCCATGCTTAACAGCATCATAGATTGAAGATTATCTAAAGCAATGTGATTGCTGATTAAAAACTTTCCTCCATGCCTTGCTGTGATATTTTGCAATAAATAAACAATTGTTCCCATTGATTATTGGGGGGTGGGCAGGGCAGGCGGGAGGTCCTGTAGTTTCAGTGAAATTAGCTTTGCACTCTGATCGGGATCGCTGTGGTGGCCACAGTATTTCCAGGCACAGCTTGATCCCTCTCCCCTTTGTCATTGCTTTGTTTACCATCTTGTATTGTTCTCCCCAGAGGTAAATGCTCTGCCAAGTGAGACTCACTGATAGGATTCTAGAGTTTGGCTGACTGATTCTGTACTATTTTGAGGATTATGCGGTGCTTAATCCATCAGCTATATACTGTATACTGATATATATGCAGACTTTTTAAAAAAGACTGTGCTTTCCAAATATTGCATAATATGGAATATGACATGGTATATATTATGATGCCATTTAAGCAGAAGGAAATAGAATATGGTATAAATGATCTCCCTTTGAGAACATCATTTAAAAATCAGCACCCTTTTTCTCCTTGCGGTATTATTGGAAAGCGACAGGAAATCCTGAAGATACACAAATTAGCAGCCAATGACTGTCACACATCTGTACAGTGATCTACAGGCAAACTCAAAACCATGGCTAATCCAAGGCATTGTTGGATACAAGGGGTCTCTTTCTTTTGTGCCTGTGGTAGGCTCCACCTTTCCTAGATGCCTACCTCAGGGCCAGAGAGCTTGTTGGGTTTTACTCCTTCTGGAAGGTTCTTATTATGCTTCCCCTCCCCATCCTAAACTAGCTAGAGGATTTTTGTTCCGCTAGACTCCCCTACCCTGCTAAAATGTAGCTGGTGAATCCCCACTCATCGAATTTTTCCCGCCAATAATGGGTTTCTCAGAGAGGAGATGCTTGGCTAAGAAACAAAAACTGAAGGTCAACTCCTGTTTCTGGGCTTTTCTTCCTAGGAGATTTACCGTATATACTCGAGTATATATGGTAAGTAAAATATGAGGGGCCTTGAAAAAGTTCATAGGAAAGGGAAATGAAAAGACATGGAATTTCCATGAACATTTTGAAGCCCCCTCATGTAATTCTTCCTTAGAGCTTCCTGGAAGTGTACTCCCTAAGTACCAGCCCAGGAACTATGTAACAATTGGTTGGTTAGTGGGGGAAGGGCAGCAGTGAGTCCAAGCTATTCCAGGGAGTGGTGTGAGTGGCATGCAGTTTTGTCTAGGAGCTTTGGATTGTTCCAGTTGACACCTTTCCTTGGGGGACTTTTCTGTAAGCCCTGTGGTGTCTCGAAGCCACTAGAGATGCACTCACACTTTTGTGTGGAGAGTGTGGAAGACACGAAGAATGAGCATTTAACAAGAAAGCACGTGTTCCTGGTTTTCCCCCACTCTGTTTTGGAGATGACGATTCGTGTTTCAGCTGGTCCGCGTTGAGCAACCTTCCATGCACACCGATTGCTGTGAGAGGATTCATAACAGAGGTCTTATCTGGCTCTAGGGTCCTACCAATTTGGAGGAGACCCGTCTTGCAGTGCTGAGTCAGGGTCTGTGTTCCTGTGGTGTGAATGACTCAGCGGGGCTATTCCAATGGATCATTTGGAATTTCACTGGCAGGGGCGAGCAAACTCTCTCCATGGGCTTTCTGAATGGAGCCATTTTATTTCGTAATCCAGAGAAGGTTTTGGGACAGACCAGGTGAAAACAAAGGAGCCAAAATTGACTGACTAAAGCATGTGATAAATGGAGAACTCTCATTTTTTAAATGCTGTTTGTTCCTTAGAAGGAACTTCCCCCCCTTGGGAGGAAGCCAGAGCTTGCAGGAGGACTGTTCCCTGCTGCAGTGACGACCTCTTGAAGACTTGTTGAAGTGGGGGGAAAGGAAGATGAACAATTTTGTTTCCATCCATAACCCACATCCCCCTTTGCCTACTTTTCCTAGGGAGAAAATATGATAAGAGCGGAAACCTGGATCCTTGGTGGTCTGTTGACTCAGAAGAAAAGTTTAAAGAAAAAACAAAGTGCATGGTCAACCAGTACAGCAGCTATTATTGGAAGAAAGCTGGCTTAAATGTGAGTACAATTCCAGTTAAGGGAACATTATGTGGGTGTTTTTTTCTCCCATTAGAACATTATCTAGATTTAGGCCAGTAGTTCTTAAAGGATGGTCTCTGAACCCCTAGCCTTATTAGAATTTGTTAGAAATGCTGCTTGCATCCTACTGAATTAGATGCCTCAGGGGTTAGGGCCCAACAATTTGGGGTTCCACACACCCTCCAGGTGATTCAGATACAAGCTTAGGTTTGAGGCTCACAGACGTTTTGTTTTCTAGATCTAGACTAAATCGAAATCCTGTAGTCCAGATAAAGAATACAATTTATGACTTTGAAATAGTCCCAGGAAATTGAGAAGAATCTATTCCTGAGATAACTAGAAATGCAAAGGGCACTGTCATCCTTAATGTATCAATCCATAAAGGCAAAGCGCAACAAAATGGTGAAGACTTAGATGTTCCCTTCAGAAACAACATTGTTCTAAATCAACATCCCATGTCATTTTTTAAAGAACTCCCCTCCAGACTATTGTTAGTTGTTGTAGAGTTGGGTGGGCATCATGGCCACCTAGTGTACAGTAAAGCCAGCAGAAACTGGATCCCCTGTAACTCAAACACCTGTCAGAGAAGGAAAATTCGATGATTTTCCACTAAAATGAAGGATTGGAAAGTGGTTAAGACTGTAAGGTAAAAACGCGGGAGACCCAGAAAAACAAAACAGTCCCACTGAGTTCGGGCTTACACAGGTGTCTCTCTGCGTACCACAGTGGTTCTTAACCTTCCTCATGCCATGGCCCTTTTATACAGTTCCTCATGTGGTGGTGACCCGCAACCATAACATTATTTTTGTTGCTACTTCATCACTGTCATTTTGCAACTGTGATGAGTCGGGCAACTCCAGTGAAAGGGTCATTCGACCCCCCAGGTTGAGAACCACTGGTATAACAGAACCAAATAAGGCCCAGTCTGTGCCAGCCCATCTCATAGAGGAGTGTTTTTGAACACTCTATGAAACATGCTAGTTAGGCATAATTCCTTTCAATAAAACGTCACTATTTTGAACGAATGAGCATGAATGGATCAGGAGTTCTGAGATGGTGGAACCAAAGAAAGGCGCCTTGTAAATGTGCACATGTGCGGGGGGGCTTGAAAAAGTTTGTGGAAACATTCCATTATCTTTTCCTTTCCGTGTTTCCATGCACTTTTTTCAAGCCCCCATGCACGTATTTGCATTTTGCCTTGTACAAGATTGTATTCAAGTGACTTTTTTGGTTGAGGGGGTTACACTTGATTCTAATTATTTTACCACAGTAAATGCTGCTGCAGTGCATTCCCTTACATGTACATTTTTCATCCTATTGGATGCATTCCTAAAGTTATCACATGTCATATGTCCACCAGTACTGTATGAAGGAACATGTGTTGGGTTGCCACCCTCCTGTCAATTTATGAGACCTTTTATGGTAAAATTTTATCTGTCACTCACCTTACACACATTTCCTCCCCAAATGTTATTCATCCTTTGAACTTTGTATACTAAAATGTAAAACATTTAAATAGTCAAATATACCTATCTCACTTGTACAATACCTCTGAATCAAGCCAATTTATTTCATAATCCAGAAATACTTTTTTTTCTGGGAAGGTTTGTGTTTTACTATTTTATATTGAAATCTTCCTGCATATGACATTTTGGGGGGGGTTTGATTTGAGAGTCCACTACTTTTCCCCCCCTCACTGAACTAAACTATCATGTTTGTCAACATGATTAATTCTATTCTACTGCTCTTACGAGTTGATTTCTGTACCACTAACATGGCTGTGGTTTTACAGTTTACTCTGATACCTGTCAATGTAAGTTCTCATTCACTCTTCGTGGACTTGGCCATTTTCAGGCATTTATACTTCTGTATAAACTCTAAGACAGTGGTGCCACAACCCTTTAGTACAGTTCATGTTGTGGTGACCCCAACCATAACATTTTCATTGCTACTTCATCACTGTCATTTTGCTACTGTGATGAATCAGGCAACCCACAGGTTGAGAACTGCTGCTCTATGATCATTTAATCCATTTCTCCCCTATTCCCTTCCCTATAACACCCATGCTGTTGCTATGAGGTGATATCAAGTTGGTTTTGACTCACAGCAACTGTATATACAACACAACACAATGCTGCCTGGTCTGGCCTGATCCTCACAGTGCTTATGTTTGAGCCCATTGTTGTGGCCGCTGGGTCAAACCATCTTGTTGAAGTCCTTCCTCTTTTTCGCTGCCCCTCTACTTACCAAGCATGAGGTCTTTCTCCAGGGAATGGTCTCTCCTGACAACCTGTCCAAAGGCTGTGAAACAAAGCTTGCCATCTTGCCTCTCAGGAGCACTCTGGCTGCACTTCTCTCAAGACAGATTGGTGTGTGCTTTTGACAGTCCATGGTCTCTTCAATCAGTCTTCCTTCGTCAGTGGCTAATTTCACATGCATCTGAGACCATTGAAAATACCATGGCTTGGGTCAGGCTCACCGTAGTCTTCAAACCTGCTCTTCAACACTGCAGCAGATTCACCAAATGCAACACATTTGATCTCTTCCGGTGCAGCTTCCATGAGCAATGATTGTAGACACAAGCAAGGCAACTTCGATCTTTTCTCCATTTCTCATGATGCTATCTATTAGTCCAGTTGTGAGCATTTCCGTCTGCTTCATGTTGAGTCATAATCCACACTGAAGGCTGCAATCCTTGATCTTCATCAAGTTTTTCAAGTCCTCCTCGCTTTCAGCAAGCCAAGGTGTGTCACCAACATCTCTCAGGTTGGACATTATTCTTCATATAAGCCAGCTTCTCTGATGATTTTCTCAGCATAGAGATTAAATAAGTATGGTGAGAGGATGCAACCCTTTCCTAATTTTAAACCACGCAGTATTCCCTTGTTCTGTTCACATAGCTGCCTCCAGACCTATGTATAAGTTCCTCATGAGCACACTTAGATGTTCTGGAATTCTCTTCCCTTTCAAGGCTATCCATAGTTTGTTATGATCCGCACTGTCTGATGCATCGACATAGTCCATAAAACACAAGCAAACATCTTTCTGGCATCTTGATTATATGTTTGATCAATTTCAGACTGACGATGCTGGGACAATTTTTCAATTTCTGCATCGCTAACCTTAGTGGTTGGTGCATGAATTTGAATAATAGTTGTATTGATTGGATTTCCTTGTATGTGGCGAGACATTATCCTATCACAGACAGCACTGTACTTAAAGACAGATCTTGAGATGTCCTTTGTGATGATGAATGCGATGCCATTCCTCTCGATTATGCCATTCCTACCATAGTGAACCGTATGATTTTCTGATTCAAAATAGATATCAATTTTTATGTGTTCGATTTTATTGTTAATGACTTTGATTTCTCCAAGATTCATACTTTGTTCATCCCAAGTTCCAATTAGTAATAGATTTTCTTCTCATTTTGAGTTGTGCCCCATCAGGATAAGACCCTGAGGGCGTATTCCAAGAGGCTTTACTCCATCCATATCCTTATGGTCGACTCTATTTTGCGAAGATAGGTTAGGATAAAATTTGTTGTTTTATCAAGTTGTTCCTTCCATGCCTCTTTTCTTTAGTATTTCATCAGGGATGAAATGAAATGAATTAGGAATTATCAAGAATGGCTGATAAACTTGAACAAATGTCTATTCAATATTTATTGATAAGGTTATATGAATTTTCTCTTTTAATTTGCTGATGTTGACAGATTTCCATCATAGAGGAAATAATATTTGAGCACAGTTTACAATGTAAAATTTTATCTATTTTCCATTGAATTTCCTATCCCTACCTTTCTAATTAGACACTTATTTGTCTAATTGCATTTGGCAAGAAGAACTGCTGAGAGGTATGGCTGTAAAATGCATGCACTGTAGATCCCTAACTCACTTAGTAAAGAGCACAGCATCTGACAGAAGCACAGTGACCCCGGAGCACTAGAACACATCAGTATATCTGAGTGTGCTTTTCCCAAGGTCTCTTGGTCCCTTGACCAAGAATAACCACCATCCTGTTATCTTACTGGGGTTGGAGAAAACCTTATCCAGTGTAGTATATTTAGGGTTCTTTGGAGCACTCCAGAAAAATCTAGGTGAATACTTTTATACTTAGTTTTTAAGTGAATGTCTATAAATACTGACAGGGCTCATATTTGGCACAAGTGAACCCACTCCTTTTTCAGGGGGAGAAATGTACATCAATCGATGTTCCTGTGGAGAAGCTCTAGGTTCTTGACCAAGTGTCCTTGAAAGCCATTTCTCTGCTCATTGTGTTGGTTCAGATCTACAAAACTGTGTACACATAGTTGCATCTTTGATTGTAATATGAGAAGGCCTAAAGAGGGTGCTTCTCTGCATATGTATTTAGGCCTGGGGTTAGCACATTGTAAAAATCCACCCAGAGTCCAGGTTGCGTCAACAGAAGCCTAGTGGCAGGCTTCTACCGTACAACGTGGGTCCTAATCTTGGTTTGGTCAACTTTTAATTTCATGAACTTAAACACGTTTCTTAACATACCTCAGAGTCTTTACCTTTCAAAGGGGTAAATATTTCAGAACGCAGTAATTTGATGTGATAGTTACAAGAGTTAATAGAACAATGCTTGACATGTGATAAGCGCACAGTAAATGGTAATTAAGATTTCTCTACTTTGTGATATACTCAACAGAAGAATTATTTCCTTGGAGGAAGAGAGTACATATTTCCTGTCAATTATTTTAGGTCAGGCGTAGGAGGTAGACTTTTCAGTCTACTTACTGAAACGCATTTATTCCTCATTCTGCTCATGAGACATGTACATAGTACTCAAAACTCTCAAATTCATTGCCATCGAGCCGATTCGAATTCATCGTCACCATGTAGGAACTGCCCTTATAGTTAGCAGCCTAACACTATACCACCAGGGCTCAGGGACACACTACAGGTTGAAAGAAGTGAAGAAACCATGGTAGAGTTGAGATTAGAGTTGAATGGGCTGTATGACTCCCAAGTCGACAATGTGTGGGTGTACTCTTCTACAACTTTTGTTTTTTGTCCAAGTGGCAGCCACTGACAGCAGGCCAAACTTACCTCTAGAGCTGTATTGGTTTAGAATGGTTTGAAGTTAAGATATGCAAGAATTCAAGAATTTCTTCACCACACTGGACTCATTGTCATACACATTACAAATCTTGACCTTGTGATTTGCACTCTTGCTATTTGTTGCCCCACCCCACAAGAGCTACCCTTTTAATTTTTCATGGAAATTGCTGAAGGTGGAAGGATGATGTTTGGTCCTGAAATCTTGTTTCTGTCTGGAAGGTACATTCGTGGAAGCCCAGGCACAGTGAGAAATCTCAGAAAATCTCAGACTGTGTGAGTTAATCAGGGGAAGTAGCCTGTATATTGACATTTCTATTTTTTCCCCATTAGGCCAGAGCTACTCAGAATACTATTATCATTTTATGGGAGCTGGCTAAATTGGTGAGAATAAAGAGGTGTGTGAGAAAGAAATGTGCAGCATAATAAAATATAACGTATTATATTTAGGAGCACCTTGCAGGAGTTCGTTTGCCATCTTCCGACGTACTATGATTATCTCTGACTTATTGGATATAATTTTCTCTTTAAAAGGATACTTTGTTGAATGATAGTTGACTGCGAAGTACCCTTTTTTCCTTTTCCGTTTTTGTTAGGTGAAGGGGAAGAGGACTCTGGGAGAAAATATTGCCGATAACGGAGGTCTGCGGGAAGCTTTTAGGGTATGCGCTGCCACACTGGCTATGAATTTTTTGAAATTAAATGATTGCCCAAGAACATGCCTGTGCACTATCAAATGTTAGAGAATTGCTGTAAATAAAATTCAATTTCCCCATGGATGCTATTTTATAGATAGAGCTGCATTTCTTTCTTTTAGGGGTAGAAAGTCACTATAGGGATAATTTTTGAGTTGAATAGTCATGTATTTAAAGGAGAGTATGTAAAACTTATATCAAAGCATGGTATACAAATCTCCTTGGGGGTAGGGCCCTATGAGTTTTCCTTGAGTACAGCTCTCTCTAGGCTTCTTTATAATTCTCTCCTGAAACTTCTCAATTATGGCCACAGGCTAGTGGTTCGCAAATGCTGGGTCAGGTAAGAGTCCATAATCCTGTTTTCATCATCCAACTGCTCTGAGGTGACATGACTCACAAGGATAATGTGGAAAGATTTTCATAAAGCTAAGGGCATCCAATGTAAAGACCAGGCTATTACCCTGAGATTATGTCCTTCCTGTATTCCAGTTAAGGTATACCTCCCTCATAGGACAGTTACAGAGGTCTAAATACAGGCATGCATATCTGTAAATACATTTATATACAATGACAGGGGAATAGAGCTATGTACATGTATTTATTACGGTAGCAGATGGACATTGGGCCTACACTCAAGTACTCCCTCAACACAAGAACAGTTTATTCTATTAACACGGCACTCTGTGGTGTTCACCTTCACTGACACGATTGCTGAAGACAAAGTGGGTGCATAAGCAAATGTAAAGAAAGCTGATTGATGGTGCCTGATTACAAGGTATTGATGGGATCAGGTATCAGGCATCAAAGACCCAAAACAAAATAAAAATCATATCAATGGGAATGAGGGGGAGGGCAGAGTGGAGACCCAAAGCCCATCAGTAGTCAATTGGACACCCCCTGTCAGAAGGGCCACAGGAAGAGAAGAGCCAGTCAGGGTGCAGTACAGCACCAATGAAACACACAACCTCCCTCTGGTTCTTTAATACTCCCCCTTCCCCTACTACCATAACCCCAATTCTATCTTACAGATCTGGCTAAACCAGAACAGGTATACTAGTACAGATAAGAGCTCGCAACACAGGGAATCCAGAACAGATAACCCCCTCAGGACCAATAAGGGGAGCAATGAACTAGGAGGGTAAGGGTTGGGGGTGGGTTCTAATGGAGAACCAATCCCAATGATCCCATCCCAGGGGGATGAACAGCAGAAAAGTGGGTAAAATGAGATGTCAGTGTAAGATATGAAAATTATCAAGGGGCATGGGGGAGGGAGGGCGGGGGGAAAATGAGCTGATGCCAGGGGTTCAAGTAGAAAGAAAATGTTTTGTAAAAGATGATGACAACTTATGTACAGATGTGTTTGACAAAAAATGGATATGTGTATGGTTTGTGATAGGAGCTGTAAGAGTCCCCAATAAAATGATTTAAAAATATATATATATCCCTTTATAAAATGATAGTGACAGAAGATAATAGCTTTCTCCCTTTCTCAGAAACCAAATTTTCTCAGTGGCTATATACTGACACCAGAATTTGTTGTTTTAGGTCTCCTAATTGTGTTACGTTTGCTTATTCCCTGGTAGGCATAGGAGGAAAAAAATGCTTTTTGCACTTAACATCTTGACCATTTGGTCCACTTGCTTTGGATCTATTGGGTATAAGGTCCTTTTGCAAGGAAACCTGCCTCACTGTTAGGCACTAGGTCATCAACTTGCATTTTAAGATACATGTGTGTCTCCTTAAAGGAAAATTTTGCACAGTGCATTTTCACATGGTATTTGCCTTGGGGTTTTGTTCAGTATCCTTGCACTGGACGTGCAAAGAGAAGCAAAGGCTATTTCTAGTGACCGTCTGCTCTTCTCTTACTAGGCTTACAGGAAATGGGTCAATGACCAAAGGCAGGGAGTGGAGGAACCTCTCCTACCGGGCATCACCTTCACCAACAACCAGCTCTTCTTCTTGAGTTATGCTCATGTGAGTAGATCAAGAACCACAGGGCATTGGCGCATTTCCTTAATCAAAGATTTGAAAGAAAAGGGTAATGATACAACATTGATTTTTAGCCAGAGTTTTATATTGATGATTATTTTTAGGTTACATCTCAGATGATTATTTTATGGCACTTAATTAACTGATCGAATTGAGGCTTATTGGTAATTTTTAGCAAGTGGGTTAATCCACCATATGGCCAGTTACTTGATTATAGTTTGATATTCTAATGTATTTGATGCTACTTATAACTATGCCTAGCAACCTGTTTGTAAGGCCCTGGCCTTTTTCTGCATCTCTCTCACTCCTTTGCCGACTAACTTACACCTCTCCTCCAATGGGGAATCCTTAAGACTATGTTT